TGTATGTATGTATGTATGTATGTATGTATGTATGTATGTATGTATGTATGTATGTATGTATGTATGTATGTATGTATGTATGTATGTATGTATGTATGTATATACATACATACATACATATATATATATATATATATATATACATATATACATACTTTAGCTGATACAACTAACACACAAGTCACCTCACGACTGTTACTGAAATGCACGTGTATGGACACAGGTGACCCCTACTGTAGACCATCTGCTGCAACAGATTGAATCAGCCACAGACAGCGACAGTGTCAAGCTACTGGCTCTGTTGACCCTGGGAGAAATCGGGTGCAAAAGCGACCTGTTTTTGCACGACGGGGTGGAGCATGCGCTACAAACGGCCTTCAACCACCCCAGTGAGGACATCAAACTGGGAGCGGCTCATGCTTTGGGTATGTTTGTATCTTGTCTGTGGGGTAGTGTATATTACGAATACAGGCACAGGGAATGGATCACACCTTATATTGTATGTAGGGCATGTATATGTAGGTTATATATGTACGTAGATTAAGTGTATTTAGGTTGTATATGTATTTAGGTTATGTGTATGTAGGTTATATATGTATGTAGGTTATGTATATGTAGGTTATATATGTATGTAGGTTATGTGTATGTAGGTTATATATGTATGTAGGTTATGTATGTGTAGTTTATATATTTATGTAGGCTATACACGTTTGTATCTGGGACTGGGCATAGAGTGTAAGGGTTGAAGACTGTCGTACAGGCATCTCTAGTCATCCTAGTGAGGGCCAACTTGGGAAAGGGGGTGCACGCGCTGGGTATGATTTTCTGTGTGTCTATGTTGTTAGTCTGTGTGTCTGCGTGTCTGCGTGTCTGTGTGTCTGTGTGTCTGCGTGTCTGTGTCTGTGTGTCTGTGTCTGTGTGTCTGTGTGTCTGCGTGTCTGTGTGTCTGTGTGTCTGTGTGTCTGCGTGTCTGTGTGTCTGTGTGTCTGTGTGTCTGTGTGTCTGTGTGTCTGTGTGT